GTCAAGTTAAAAAATAATTCGATTTTGAATATTTATATGGCACCTTTTTAATATTTCCTTATAATTGGTAATGTGATTAAAGTGTTTTAAAGCAAAGGTTCATTGATTTTTCTTTCTTTAAGTACCTAACATGTAGTTATATCTAGGCAAAAGTTGCAAAGAAAAATAGAATTTCAAACATAAATAGTTGTATTTAAAAAAATACAAAGTTTCTATAAATATTTATTGATTGATTATTTTTGTGCACTTTAAGTCCAATTAGAATTATTACACGAAAATTCGGGACAAGAAACCGAAAATCCAAATCATGATGCAATACGGTAGGTTCTAAAAAGCGGGACATGAGGGGAGATTTTTGGGACTGCCGTTGGAAAAAGGGGTATGTTGGTTTTGGTAAGACATTTGGCCTTAATAGCTGGCCTACGGACCCCTCAAATAATTCAAGTTTTTGTTTATGGACAGAAAGCACGACATTGTGTCAATCCGCAGGAAAAAAGAGTACTATTGGTAGAGTATGAATTTTTGCCTGGTAATAGTTAACGTATCGACCCTCAAAGAATTTTTGAAACTGTTACTTTACGAGCATAATGCCTGTTTATACATCCGGCAAGATGAAAACAATACCCCCTCAGCACGGTTTTATAAAGGGACATAAAAAATTAAGATGAAAATAATTTTATTCCTTAGTCAAATCTTGGTGTGAAAATTGGCCAATGGAGATTTTGATGCAGACCAAGTTATTCTTAGATACATTTTTAAAATTCTCAAAATCATCGACATTAAACAGTCCTTATGGTCAAGGTTTGAGGTAAACGAAAACCGTGAATCGGTGTGAAAAAAAGACAACTTCTGGTCAAAAGAAAAAAACAAGCAAAAGTTCACACTAAAGCTAAGGATGCAGATAACCGCTGATGAAAGCACCAGTGATCCATTGTGGTATTCACGATGGTCATAAGTATTCATTAATATTAAGACATGGTCTAAGAGCAGATTCGTAGATATAAAATATCACTTATTCATGTATTAACACTATAGCTGGTCGTACTTTCCGGATGTTATTTATCGAAATCACTTATCTCTTAGTTAGCGAAACACAACATTCTTCTGAAATAACACGATGGTCTTGATTATACATTTCTCACATCATAACTAGCTCTATTATAAAGAAATAATCGGTCGCAGTTTTTTCCTAATCATAGCTTAAGAATAAATGAGAAAAATGACGAGTAAACATTTTCAGCCGTTAACAAATTAATCGTCCAGATATCGAAATTTGCATCAATCTCAATCAAGCGGTAAATTGGTCTACGACTGAGTTTGTTGCTATAAACGTCTTGATAAGGTACACGATAACTTTATGTTCTTACGTTAGTTGCCTAATTACGATTATACCATCAGTGCATTCTAAACGATAATACTGCAACGTGTTAATTTTCAAAATGATGGTAATGAATTAAGAGAGGTTAATGAAATGAATACAGAGAGCGCGTAAATGAGACACATACAAAAAAACTAAAGACATACAATGCTAACAATGTTCCTGATTTAAGACAGCTAGGCACATGACTATGTGATGAGCTTAAACTAGTTGTTTTGGGCGCTCAACTCTCCCATTTTTAGTTTCGATTAGTGAAATAACAAAAGGGCCATAAGAGGACAAACAATATAATAAATTCAGAGTAGGACTTATCTGCATTGTACGAGTATGATAGATAACAAATATAAATTTCAAGTAAAACATTAATACACAATACTGTATCTGAGAATGCTCTTAGTTACTGAAAGCAAGCTCAGATACTTAACCTGCTTATCCGCTTTATTTGATTATGTGTCTAAAAAATTGTTAATATATTTGCTTTGCAAGGGTGTTATCTTATACATATATAAAATAATTCATTGCACTGTCGATAGAAGGCTAGCTATCAAAAACCATTTTCAAGACAAGGCTTAAACATATAAATGTATTTTATTTCGGTTTCTATATCGATCTATTCCTATCATCTATAAATATTGTTCTGGAAGGGATGTCTTCACCTTCATCGTTTAGAATTCTATTAAACTTGGTTGATGGCAGTCAATGTGGCTGAAGTAATTAAAGTAAGTAAGTAAAATATGTGAGTCAGTATTTCACAAAATACTTTTCTGTTATATCATTTCAGTTTGTGTAATGTATTCTTAAGAAGACTGTATGGCATTCTAAAGTATGAGCATATTAGTGCAGATCTGCAACAGCACTTGGTAAGTACCAAATGGAGAACTTCTATGTCATACTTGGTAAATAAAACGTTTATATTTCATCTAATGAAAAGAACCTTTTTCGATCACCATTCAACCATCATTGGAAACGAATTAAGCCATGCGCATTCAGTTATATGCATTCAGCGAAATAGATTCCAAGTACTAGCAAAATATCACATGGACATAGTTTGGATTGATTATCTTATGAGCAAAATCTTAATAGCACTCATATAAGAAGGAGGTTTAGCTAGCTTTAAAACCAGGTTTAACGCATCATTTTCTAGCTTATAAAATCAGGTCTAACCCACCATTTTCTAGCTATAAAACCAGGTTTAACCCACAATTTTCATCGGAAAATGTCTGTACCAAATATGGCATATGACAGTTGTTTTCCATTCGTTCCGTTGGTTGGTATAGTCTAACGTTTTATTTTGTCAGGTTTAGTGGACCTCCCCCTTAATTTACCTTGGAGTTCGGAATTTAATCCACTTCAAAGACATGCATAAACTTTTTTATTTTTTTAGGTTTGAATTTTCTAACTTTCCAATACTTAAGTCTGATGGATTACAATTTTATATTAAAAATGGAATGCACAATTTTTATGACATTTTACTAGACATCATAATGATCTCGTAATATTCTTTGTCCTAGTAACAATGCATCTAGGTCCCATGGTATGTTTTGAAACACAAATGTTGATGAACGATTTATAAAACAAAACAGCCTTTCAATATTATTGTCTTCACAATGATCTATTGGATAACATCAGTTCTCGGGAAGCACTAAATGAACAATAAAATATACTCTGTCGAGAATAAAATTCGTATTACTTTTGAAATTGGAATTGATTCAAACCTATGGTTTTTTCAAATTAATTTGATACTTTAATACCAAATAGAAATAGAAAACAAACAATACATTCTTGATTGGTTTTGATTATTCTCCCCAATGACTCTTGACCTTACTTCCTCGTCCACTGAATGACCTTGTCTGTGTAAATATTTCTTGGGAAAAACACTGCAATGATATTTAGCAAAATGTATCAAATTCTTTTTTGGTTCAAATACGCAAATCCGGAAAATGTAAAAATTTTACCAAGTACCATGATTGGATTGCTGCTATTTAAAAGTTCTTACACATCTAGACTTTGCCTTTCAAATATTTGGCTTTGAGCGTTCCTGTTGAAGGCAAATCCAGAAAAGCATTTTGGACGCATGAAATTTATAAAGTGTTAATATTATTTTTTAGGGAATTAGGGTCATATTCGTTTACCAATAAAAAAAAATCTGTCTCTCTGAGATTTTTTATTTGGAAAAGGGGGGGGGGGGGGGGGCATACTGATTAAATAAAATTTCTATGTTTTCTGTGATAAAATATTTCCATTTACAAACTTATATGATAGATATTATTTATAGTAGTCCAAGCAAAAAATCTTCACTGGAAAAATGGTCAAAGTAAAAAATCTTTTGAAATTATTTAAAAGAATAGCAGAATAGTATCAATAGATTTTATCTTAATTTGACGAAAAAAACAATACGATTTTTTTTACCTAAACATTCGTCTCACGTGACTAGTAGACTTCCAGCCCGCACCGAGATAAACAGATGACACATATACTTATACAATTATTGTTATAGTTTTATTATGCAACATTTTGGTATCATCAGCACCAGTGTGGAAATAATGAAATTAATGGTGATATATTGATGCCTTAGACCAAAGCTTATTTAATATCAACTACAAGGAGAAAAAAAACGACAGAATCCAATTATTGCAAACAATATGTCATATATTGAGCAAAAACATATGAAAATACTGTAAATAAAATATAGTTTATATTGTGAGTGAAAAATCAAATTACGACCTCAGCTGTATTTGTACTTTCTCCCTATGTCTACCTAGTAATGAGTTTCTGACAAGTTCAAACGGGATTGTTACTTTTTTCCATGAATAGATCCATTTCTAGTTATTTTGTATTTTGCCAGACTTTTGAGCCTAGTGTTATTAAATTAATTTCTCGGCAAATGATATTGGGAGAGCAATATTTTATACACATATCTGTGATATATATAAGCTATACTTTTTTAAATCTTACAGCACAGAAATTTTTCTAAAAAAAAAAATAATTAAACTTTACTAAATGTTTATATAGTTTGAATACTGGTTATGTATGATAACCACCCTCTTTCTCTCTTAGTAAATAATTCATTCTTCGTATTGTTAATTTAAGTGTTTTATATATATTATTTGTATGACCGCTTCTGTGGTCTCGCTGTAGGGCGCTCGCTCTAAGTGCAGCTGGTCGACAGTTCAATCCACTGCCGGTTCAAAGCATAGACGTTAAAAGTGTTATTTTCTGCATTATAATGTGTCCGTGCAGGTTAACACTGTCTTATCTCTGTTATGACAGTCATATTATCGAATAGTAGATTGATTTGACCTCAGTATATTATAACATGTAAGTTTCAATTTAAAAATAAGAAGATGTGGTATGATTGCCAATGAGACAACTCTCCACAAGAGACCAAATAACACAGAAATTAACAACTATAGGTCACCGTACGGCCTTTAACAATGAGTAAAACCCATACCGCATAGTCAGTGTATACATCATACACAAATACTAATCTTAAGCTATATCCAATTTTTGTCGAAGAAACTCGAAACATTTAATTTTGTACTTGCACCCTGGTTCTTTTAGTGACCACGTGATAAGAAACATTACAGGTTCCTCTTTAAAATGAAACTTGTTTAATACTTACTTGAATTTCAAGGGCGTGGTAGGCAAGAATTAATGCTAGTAAGATAATTGTGGAAATACAGATGATCGACTTCAGCACAATGGAATAATGAGATTCCTGGAAAAAAAAGAATGATATAGTGTACAAAATAATAATATGTTTTGCATAGAAGTGTTGACATTACAGGTTATGGCAATTTAAACAGAGTAGGAAGATATCAAAGGGTTATTCAAATAGAACAGGTCTAAGGGAGCTACCATTTGATTTTTATGGGGGGGGACTAGGATGAAATTTGAAAAAAAGGCAGGACAGGAGTTTTGAGTAAATAAAAAAGGCAGGATGAGCAACTTGGCAAGAAAAAGGCAGGATGACAATTTATGTAAAAAAAGTCAGGATAAACTAATAAAAAAAAGGCAGGACCGAATAGAGTGAAAAATAAAAAGGCAGGACAGAGATTACAACTAAAAAAAAAAGGCAGGACAAAATTTTTCATCCTAGCCCCCCCCCCCCCCCCCCCCCCCCCCATAAAAATCAAATGGTAGTTCCCTAAGATGTGATTCAATGGTCATAGATGATTATTTCATAAAGTCAAGAGTGATGCAACATCAGCTACATGTATGATGATATTGAAAATACTTTTAGTTTTAAAATAGTTGATAAAAAATCCACAAGAAGCCCATTTGTTTTTGAAAAAAAAAATCTACTAGAGAGAACAGTAAAGGTTTTTTTTTTTTTGTATTTCATAACACGTGGATATATTGGAGATTTTCATACACCTCGGCCTTTGTTGTGACCTCGCATAGATGATGGAACGACTATTTGTTATAACCTATATAATACTTTATTTGTAAAATGAATCTCTTTGAAAAATATTGCACGATCAAACGTCAGCATGTTCAATTTTAGGGAAATTTGATAAGATAAAATTATTCGGTTATATCGTAGTTGATATGAAAATACTATCTTTTAAATCATAATAATGAATAATATATGAATTTTTATGTTATTATCTTACATATGAAATTGAAATTATATTGATTATAGATTTGAATGAAATAGACTTCATATATTAAGTTAAAAGATCAATTATTTTATAACACCGCTATTAAATTGACATTGGTATTAAAATTTAATGAACGGTATTAACTGAAACTCGATAAACATATTGCCTCGGTTACTAGGACGTGAAGACGTTATAATATTCCAAATGTAGATATTAGTTGAAGTATGACATATCTCATTTAGAAATTTTTCAGAAAACAAACTAACGGTTGCATGAGAATAGCTCTTAACAATGTTGTGTTTGAACAATGTCCATTACTGGCTGAAATACAAACTGATACTTTAACTATAAAAAACTATCAACTAGATATATAGCTTAAGCCGCCATCAGTAATTGCCACTGTTAATATCTGAGTGTTTTGTCCTTTAAAGCATTTGTGTTTATGTCAGATTTTTGGTAATTTGTTCAAAGAATAGGGATGGTAAATATAAAAATAAGGAGATGTGGTATGATTGATAATGAGACCACTATCCACCAAAGTCCAAATGACTTGGATGCCCATATTTAGCCTAAAATGTAATGCAATTAGAAAAGTTACCATTCATTACGTTACATTTGTCAAAACATGACCAAGGTATAAGAAGTTCAGAAAATAATATCAAATTTCACATTTGACGATTTATTTTTTTATTTTTCTTGTTTAGTGTCATTTTTTAGTGTAATATTTTGTTTGGAAAAGTATGGGCACTTCAAAATAACAATTCATTCATTTAAAGTAAGAATATTTAAATACTGCTACTGCATTTACCAAACCCAAAAAAAAACGACTTATACTTTTGTGTTCTTTATTCTTTTGTATAAATCGTTTTTTGTTGGTTGATGTTGTTCTTCGAGTCCCAGATCTAGTTATATGCAGAGGTCATTTGATTGATGTCTACCTTGTAGTGAAGACTTCAAAATTATACATTTTTGTTCTTTATTCTTTTGTTTATTTTTTGAAGTCTTGACTACAAGGAAGACATCAACATATTCACCCCTGCACCTAAGAAGTTCGTCAAAATGTAACTTTAAATGACATGTTAATGTTCCGAACAAAGTTATGACAAAGTTGGTTAACTAATGGTAATGAACCTAGTTACTCGGGTTAACTAATGTCAACAAACCTAGTTATTCTGGTTCACTGATATATATGCACTTAGTTTTTCTAATTATGGAGCTGTCGCAGGGTATTCCGATTTGATAGTATGCTAATGTTGAGACAATAAACCTTAAGTTTGTCTAACTATTGAGCTCGCGGGGTTTTCCTATTTGATAGTATGTTAATGTAAGACAATAAACCTAGCTTTTCTAATTCTAAAACTGTCGCAGGGTTTTCCGATTTGATAGAATGTTAATGTTGAGACAATAAACCTAGTTTTTCTAACTATGGAGCTGTTGCGGGGTTTTTCTATTTGATAGTATGTTAATGTTAGACAATTCACCTAGTTTTTCTAACTGGAGCTGTCGCAGGGTATTCCAATTTGATAGTGTGTTAATATTGAGACAATAAACCCACTTTTTCTAACTCCGAAGCTTTCGCAGGGTATTCCAACTTGATAGTATGTTTATGTTAGACAATACACCTAGTTTTTCTAATTTTAAAACTGTCGAAGGGTTTTCCAATTTGATAGTATGTTAATGTTTAGACAATAAACTCACTTTTTCTAGCTACGAAGCTGTCGCAGGGTATTCCAATGTGATAGTATGTTAATGTTGAGACAATAAACCCACTTTTTCTAACTACGGAGCTGTCGCGGGGTTTTCCAATGTGATAGTATGTTAAATGTTGAGACTAATACTAAGTCATAAATCAAAACATGAAGGTATAAATATATCTTTATCTACATTACAGTCACGTTTATATAATTTTTTTATGATATACACACGACGATAGAAAATACATTACTTAGCACTTCAGAAAATTGAAAACAAGTGATGTCAGTCTTTCTCCTTCATTCGTCTGTCTTTTATTAAAAAGTCGTAAACATGTACCAGAGAAGGTTAGTATACATGCTGCACTTTTATTATGAAAGATAAAATTAATCTACTTGTAGCATATTAAAATGAGAGATTTCACGGCTGTTATGCGATGAATAATTTGATCGTTGGTTATCTCTTTATTATAGTGTAATAAACGTATCGGGTTTTAACTTCATCTTGGTTTTTGTCTCGCCTCCACGAAGTCGCGGAGGCGAGCCTTGAGTGTGTGCTGTTTCCTACGTCGGCGTTGACAATGTTAAAGTATGTGATTATGGTCAGTTTAAGGGGAACCACTTATGGTAAATTGTATTGGCACATCTAATGTTCATGGAGATTGTTCCCCTCAGTTATAGTCTATTGACTTTGAAACTTTTACATAGTTAACATGTTACAAAAACAAGACAACAGTCTGTTTCAACAGTATAAGAACAGTGTAAAAACGAGAACTTTCACTTTTTTCGCGGAGGTTTAAATTTAGTTGCAACAGCTTATCTTCAAAATTTTGACGCCTAAATTAAAACAAATGTTAATCATTTTTGTGATACAAAAGTATGAAAAAAGCTAATAAAACAATAAAAAATAGTGACACCGAGACATTTCCCGTTTTATTACATGGCTCTCAATGTACAAGATCAAAGTATCCAAAGTAACGTCTTGTGTGCACCAAACCGTTTTACTTTTTTTCCTTATCAATTATTAAACAATGTTAATTCTTGAAACATTATTTTTCCAATCGCCCACATAAACAAGGAATAAACCTGCACAGTTTTTAAATGTTCCAGTTCACAGAAAAACTATACCATAATATTGCTTCAGATTAAAAATAATTTTCTAGACAAACTTCATATTCTTAATCTTCTTTTCAGCAATGTTGAGACGCTGATTTCCAGTTTGAAATGACTTATTCAATTACCTAGATTCAATAACTTCAGATTATTCCTTTGTTGTTTTGAACCAAATAGAAAATGTAAAATAAACGACATGTACTGATTGACTTGGTTACCAGCAGGGGACCATCAATTTTACCATTTCCTTAGTTTGAAAAAAAACAAAGCGTTTATGGTTACCTGTAGGGGACCATCAATTTTACAATTTCTTTAGTTTGATAAAAAAAAAACAAAGCGTTTAAAGTATCTATGAAAAACAAATTTACTATTATTGATTTTGGCAATACACGAGTGTTCATAACATGAATGGTCTTCTTTCAAAACATTTTATGGCTGCGGTAATCTGTGCTGGATCAGACTAACATTTAATGCATTGTTTACAAGGTCATTCAGTATGCCTTTTGCACTACACTGCTGTTGTCTATTTTTTCAGCAGATGTTTTGTTCTGATATCAATGTCAATTACTTAGAGTTCGTTCACTTTGAGAATAGTATGTAAGTTATCAATGATGTGATCTTATTGAATATATCTATGAGAATAAGTACGTTTTTACTTGCAAATCAACTTACAGATATACAAAAATGTAAACTGCCGACGGGAAGTAATATTCCTGATATGACGTAATCATGGTTATACGTTATACAGTGCACGTCATAAACACTGTTCCAGCTTAATTTTAACTTTGTTACATGTCCATTTGTGTTATGTAATAGTATTGTAAAGTACTGAGTATCTTTACTTTTAATTTGGTCATATAGTGAAAAAGGTTTGGATTACGATGAACACAATCTGTTTGATAGATTATCTCCCCGTTAAACTATAAGCTTTCTGAAGTTAAAACTAGAGGCTCTAAAGAGCCTGTGTCGCTCACCTTGGTCATGTGCATATTCAACAAAGGACACTCTCCAACATTGTAGACGAGAATAGAATTCATGACAAAAATCTCTGTTTTATTGATCTTGTATTGCTGATGATTTAGTCTGTTTAGTTTCTCTCAATCTTCTTTAGTTTTGCTCAAAATACAAAATATGCCAAGTGATGAGAAAAGTTCACTTGGCCCTTTGGGCAATTTGATCTAATAAAAGCGTCCAAACTCTGTGATGATTCTAAATTCAGATAAAAAGGGATAGTAGAGCAGTTTCCATGCCATGATACATATAACAGTTGAAAAATTGTAGGAACCATATATAGAATTTTCCTTTTCCAT